CATTTCCCAAAGCTTCTCATTCCCTGGCTTAATATTAGAAGTAGTACATAAATCTCCTTCTAAAACAGACAGCCTTCAGCTACAGCCTTTTCTACACGATACACTCTTTCTGCATGACGGAGAAAGGGGATGTGGGCCAGAGTAATAACTGTGGCAGAAGAATGATGGCTCAAGTTTGTGAAGCTCTTAAATTTGTAATGCCTATGAATTCCTTCCACCTGTGTTAGAAAGGGAACTGCCATTGATAGCCACAGAATTAAAGCAGACAGAAGGTTGACTTGGGTCCCACTAGCCAAAGGACTAACAGAACTGTGTGATGGGTATTGCTGTGAATTTTCAGCATGGTGTATCAGATTGAGAAATATCCCTAGAAAATTTCACCCAGCTAGAACGCGAGTGCTGGTGAATGCTTCAGAACCATTAGATCTGTGCTGCTCCAGCCTCAGCAAGGCTTTTCTGATAGAGCTGCTAATTATCTCACCCTTTTTCTTCACCAAGGTCCACAGGGATCACACAAAGCTCCAGTTGCCTTAACTTGCTCCTACAATTCTGGACCATGCTCTGTGATACTAAATGACAGCCAGGCAACAGTTACTTCTGAATTAAAGGTGGTGTAATTGAGAAAAGATTGTGTATTTAGGGAATTACTTAAGATCATAAGTACTTACAGACTACAGATGTGGTAGCTACTTCCCTCACAGAAACATACCAACATGGCTGTCTTCATGCCCATGTACTTCACCATATAAATCATCACGTAAACCTTTGTGACCATGATCAAAACCCACTACAAACATGACCAGAGCAGGATCTTCACTTCTGCTTTTGGCCAATGATATGATTACTTCATACACTCGTAACAAACCATGTACCTTACCTTACCATGGCAACCCCAGACAGAAAGCACTACCTTACAGAACAGCACTAACCGTTGTCAAATCATGCTTCAGGGACAATTTGTTTCCCGGTTTCCAACCACATAGTCATCATTGATCACTATGGAACATTATTTATTGCTTTTCTCTGTTACACATTTGTCACTTGTTTTGATGCTCTTCAAAGAAGCAGAAAAGGAACAGAAGAGAAAGTGTGGTGGTTTCTATTGGGCAGTTTAACCAGTTGAGGAAGCATGTGCATTGACACCAGAATTCCTTATGCCTACCTCAATATTCGGTCAATATAGAATGTACAGATACTTTTTATCACTAAGTATCTGTTCAAAGTGTGCACACTGAAATTACCAATTCTCTTCAAAACCTTTGAAAAGTCTTCTGTAAGGAGCGTTTGTGGGCTAGGATGGGAACAGAGTTACATTGGAGTACACTGAAGAGCACTCTTCACATTAAGAGTCCAGTTTATGTTGGTAAAAACAGTGGAAGAAACAGTAAAACAGTAAAACACTGTAATACTATAGCATTTAAAGACTCGAAGAATGAAGATCCCATTTTAAATAGCATAATCATGTACAGAAATACAGAATTCCGAGTGGACAACAAGCACAAAAAGGAAAATCAATGAGATGAAAGGTCATTTAAGTTGCCTCTAAAATACACTAGCTCCTTGAGGACTGCATAGTGGAGATTTCACCTATGTCTACACAAACAGAATTACTGACATGAGAAAGACTACTTAGAAAGCAGATGGCTTATATTACCTATTTAAAAAATAAATCTGTGAGGATTTAACAGATTTCATTCACATCAGGCTTTGGCTCAATACCTTCTAATAAACTACAAATGTGCCCTACAGTCCACACAGCAATTGTTGTCTGGAGAATTTGCATCAAACACACTAGACAATGCAATAAACTTTCTTTTAGAAGTATAAAAATGCAGCTAATAGATCTATGACTTCTGGATCACCACAGCCCATGAGTGTTTTACAAGATCAGAATAAATGATTCTCTCACAGCTGGGGACTGTTGTTTGCCACCACTGGGGCATGTACAGGGAAAGAGGCTTTGGGCTCCATCCCACATTCTGCAATCCTATAAAATCACTATAAAATAGGAAGGACATTCATTTTTAAAGATCACAGACTATTTGCTGTATAACCTCCCAAGCCCCAACTTTGTATTCAATTATGGCAAACTAAAAGAAAGAGGAGGAATAAAAGCAATACTTAGTTTTACATTTTAAAATGTATATTGAAGCTAAAAGACACATTGACTGTTTGCATTATGCTGCTCTAAAGGACATTTGAAAGCTGGAGGTAGCTAGGTCTCCTACATAACTTCACGAGCAACATCGAGTTCTTTCTGCTGTTTCATACTGAGTCACTCCACCATGCTAAGGAGAGACTTGCTCTTCGTAAGTATTGGCCATCTCAAGAAAGTCAGCTGGAAATTCAGAACTTGAAATGTAAAACTTTCCCTTCACACAAGAGTAAGAGCTTGCAATTGCTTCTCACCAGGGACTCTTGGGACATTACCCTAAGCAAACCACCAAAGCTTTATGTTAAAACAAAATCCAAATCTTGGCACTCAATTGTTAGTAATTTTCAGAAGACCACCAAGTGCACAGTGAACTGGTGAATCCTGTGGCCATAACTTTAAGGAATAGAAGGTCTGAGATTCTGCCAAATGCTACCGCTATCTGTAACTCCTAATACTATGCAAACAAAATGATTGCACTGTAAGAAAATGTGAAGGAAATAAAGTTCATCATCAATGAAGGCGCAAAGATGATGATGAAATCGGATGCATTCTGAAGGTAAAATAGTCAAGATATTACAAGTTATGGAATGCTGCAGGCATGCCTTGCAATGCCACATCTGCATCTCCAAAGCTGATTTCTACTTTAAGAGGCTCTTGAAGGAGAATGAGTTGGATTTAAGGAGCTTTATCTGCTTTTGCTTTGAATTTTTCTGTTTGCTTCAACAATGGACATTTAAGATAAGGCCTAGTGATTCAGTGATATGAACTGACAAGGGGAAGTGGCAAGAAAACAAATTTAGAATCACAGCAAGTATTAAAACAAAGTATGAAAAAAATACTACCTTTGTTTTATTTGTGGTGTATCACATTGACCAGACAACAGCCTTGTTAGGTAACCGCACACCATGTAGAGCACAGCTCTTAAACTCCCATATATTTGGTATATTCAGAGAGATAAACAGAAGTGCAGATTGTTGTGTCTCCAGCGTTTTTTAACGACAACACTGTAATTTAACTTTTTAATCTGAACTAATTACAGGGGTGCTGGGGTTTTGTTTGCGCATGCGTGCGTTCCTTCCTTTGTGGTTATCTTTAAGAGTGTAAAAGCTCCTATAACTGGTAAGCAGACATAAAAAGAAACTGGGATCCCTCAGATTAGACAGAAATGTTTTAAACACTTAAAGAGGTGAAACTGAATGGAATTCATGAATGAATTACTACAGCTCTTTGAGTAATCAATTCCAATTGCTATTAATAATACCACTTTCCCTTCAAAGAATTACTTTCACCTTATAAAGTCAAAGCTTGTAACCTGCTTAATCTTTACTACAGCCTGCAACAATTACTATTAGGCATAGAGGACCTACAAATTAGAAGCTCTGTCTCATTATCTCTTTTTCCAACAGACTCTTTCGATGATCATAAATAACTCTAAAATTATCATAAAAATTAATAGTACTACAGTTAAAGAAAATTATTATGTAAAGGTTTATGATTTTTGCAGCCATTAATAGACATAAGTTAATGAGCCATAGGCTTTCCAGAATATGATATCAGATATTTTTCCACCAATGAAACTTTCAGAGTTCCAAATCCTTCAGAGGTCACCAACTTCAAAAATAGAAAAGACAGTTACTGTTTAATACTAATGTGAGTAAAAATGAAACAGAAGTATTATAGCAAGTACCATGCATAGCAATTGGAACAGCCCAGTAAAACAAGATAAGGAAATCTACCTTGTCACCCACGTGGAATGGAGGAAGCAAAACCAGAATATTGAAGATGAATAAGATGCATTTTGAACACTCTCTACATATTTTAAATTCACAACTACCTAGAGTCGTAGCTTTAAGCTAGAAGGGAAAGTTAGGATCAGGGCTTATAGACACCAAGTCATAGGGAAATTCATCATACCTCTGTGAAACAGGTTCCAAAAAAGGTTACTGTCAAGAATGTGCATTTTGACAACCACAAATAAAGCTGATTTCCCATTCCATTACTCTTAGGCTGTATGTATAGGATGCTTCAAGCTCTCATCAACAAAAATGTCGAGGAAGCATGACTCCTGCAGTAACCCCAGCCTTTGGCTTTGTCAGTCATGCTTTAAAGAAACGCAAACACCTGAGGTTTTGAAATGACGAAGAGAACTCCCCACAGCACAGGAAACAAGTATGCATCAGCCATCTTAAGGGAATAAAAGTCTGGGGGTTTTAATCTTTTCCCTCCAGTCTGGAGATGATCATATTTCCTCTTGAACGGAAGTGGCCTATTTTGTGACTTAAACAAACAGGTGCAAACTCCCCAGGATAATTCACTGACTTTATCTGACATGAACTTTTAAGCTGGACCCAGTGGACAGCACATTGCACTGCTTCTCATCCTGTGGCCTTAAGAACAAGCATTTATTCACACTTTCTCATGCTATTGCCACTTATTTTCAAAGTAAAATTTAATGAAAGCTTCCTTCCACATGCGGCTTTGCTTTTTGTGTTGCAACAGCAGAAGACTGAAGGCTCCCACAATCTTATTTATAATCACGGACAAGATAAATATACTGGCCTTAGAGAATATCAGAAATAACAGAATCCTAATTAAAAGTAGCACCCAAAATTGTCAGATATATCACATATTGGACACAATCAAGACACTAAAGATAAATGCCTTGAAAGAAAAAGTTCCAGGAAAATTTTACTGGATTTCTTTACTAATCCTAGAAGTAATTCAACAGTTGACATAGTCTTCATGATCAATACATTCAGTCCTGAAGTTATGCTATAAACCAGCTTCTACAGCTCTTTAGTTAACAAATATGATAATACAGGCAAGGGAAAAAAAAGATCTTTACCTTGTAATGCCTTAGAATTCCTTGAGGTGCTGATCCTTTTGTAGCTTGCATTCTTTGGTTGTCATGTGAGATCTAAAGATCAGAATAAACTTATTGTTACAACTAACAATGATGGTTATTTATATGTTGATGAGAACTTGTTATTAGTTCATAAGACAGATCAAGACTCTTCCTCTTGTAACACATTCTGTACTGGTCACTTTAATGGGATCTACTCAGCCACTTTCAAAACAATATAAAAGCTTCAGATCCTCTAAACTGATTTTCAAAAGCATTGAGAATCCTGAAGTCACATTGTCTTCTTTGCCAAAATAAGGCAAATATTACTGATTGCTGTAGCAATTTAAAAAGATTAAGTATATCTGTGAGATAAAAAAGCTATAATTTGAAAATTATAAACAAGGAAGTGTTTAACTAAGTGCCAGTCGTGTAATACTGTAGACTACAAAGCCACTGATACTAAATAGTGGACATCTTATTTACATTTTGTAGCATACATGTTAATATTTTAGGGTATGAAACTCCTTGCACATAAGAAAGTTTAAAGCATGTTGAAAAAAAACTATAATTTAAATAGTCATCCTTGTATCAAGTAAAAATAAACCCTTCTCACTAGTGATGAGCAATGAAAACGAGAAAGGTTAGCTCTTCTACCCAGTAATCCCTTATTTCCTACTTGAAAATCATTAAGACATACATAACTTAAAGCACACAACAACATGATTATTAGGAAGGTATTTAATTGTGTGCTTATGTCCTATCAAAAAGAGATTGATAAGTGACACTACATTGTAGGATGCTGGATTTAAAGGAGATTAAGTGCTTAACTTATTTTAGCAGCATTTGAACATCAGCACTGAAAAAGGCTTGGCAATTAAAAGATCTTGAGAAAGCCTCAAGACTATTCTATAACACACAATATAATATAGCAATGGCATGTAGGAAAAAAAAAAAAAAAAAAATCAATTTGAGATCCACTCCTGAAGGCAGATGATAAGAATCATCCACAAGGAAACAGATAACAGCTGATATGACCTCCTTACCTTGTCAGAATTACAATTACAAAAAATCAGATACTGCAACTTAATCATAGTTACACGTTCCAATTTCACATGTACATTTTAATGGTAAAACACTAAAGACAAAAGATAAAAATGGCTTCACCACTTTAAAAGGGAAAAAAGAACCAAGCCCAACCCCCCCCCAAAACCCCACATGTCCCAAGAGTCAAGTTAAAGATTCAGAAGTCAGGGCTAGGAGGGAAGAGGAAGATAAATAATTTAGCACTCAGCACAACTAAAGGCTGTCACTCTGCCAACTCTAAGAGAAATGAAAAGGTTTACACGGATCCTGAGAGTTTTTACAAAACCTCCAGGGAGTTGAAAAAATAAATCCAGAACAAGAGTTCTGAAGTATGCCACATAAATAGCTTCTAAAGACACTGATTAGACTGTGAGACTAACGGCATAGAAAGATTCCTTTAGTTCAAAATCAGACTGTTCTCTGGCATTATGTTTGCCCTCCTGTATCATCACCAGCTGCATCAGCAGCAGGGCTGCCTGTCGTTTTACAGAGGCATCACCTTCTCAGAAGCCAGGGAAGATGTTTACGGGAGACCCAAGACATATTGGTATCATTTTAAATGCTATGGCTAAGCCTGTGCTTGGCATTAAATTTACAGGCACTGCACACATTTTCATGCGTAAAGACCAATTCTGATCGCTTGGAGTTGAGTAACTTCTGTGCTTTGTGGTGTCAATATTCATGGCTGAACATAAGACAATTAAGCAAATAAAAATCCCTGTAAGACTTGGCCACTCTTTGCAGGAGGGAGGAGTGCAGGGAGGAAGAAAGGGGAAGCTTCACATTATTTCCTTTTACCTTAAAATTAATTTTTTGCTCTTATTGCTTGAATTGCAATAAGAATCTGTAACAGGGCCTTTCAATCCCATAAAAGCAAGAGTTAAACTGCAATACCTGCAACTATAAAAAAATTAATTCCATATCATCATCACGTTTTACTTCAAACTAAGATGTAACCTTGTACTTCATTGCTCAGACAATGTTAACTGTAGGAGAATCACAGAAAGGAACTAAGTTCATTTAAGACATAAAGCAATTTTGAATTGAATTGATTACAGTGATCAGTCTATCACTTTAATGTCATCTCTGCTGGCATTTATTAAAAAGACATACATGTGACAACCCATTGATCCTTAACACTGCAGCTGAGATAAAAAGTCTATTTGCAAAGGAAAATTACTTCTTTAATTAGAAATGGAGTATCATTCTCCCTTTCCTTTGTTAGAACTTCAGCAGCCACAGATCAAATACATCATGGGAGGGGCTGCAGAATCTGCCATCTAGTTTCATTTAAAAGTCTTCACAGTTAATCATTCAAAGTTGTACGAATAAGCACTTGAGGTGGGGAAGGAAACGGGTCTATCCCCCATACGAAGGCACTCCAACGTGCTGCTGCTTAGGAGAGGCTTCAGAAGGGAGAGCTTCTTATTACTAATTAGAAAGGATTCGATCTTAGGCAGAAGCTCTTCCCTGTGAGGGTGCTGAGGCGCTGGCAGAGGGTGCCCAGAGAAGCTGTGGCTGCCCCATCCCTGGCAGTGCTCAAGGCCAGGTTGGACACAGGGGCTTGGAGCAAGCTGCTCCAGTGGAAGGTGTCCCTGCTCATGGCAGGGGTTGGAGCTGGATGAGCTTTAAGGTCCCTTCCAACCCAAACCAGGCTGGGATTCTATGATTCTTGGTGGATGCTGCCATAAGACTGATGTTCAGGGGACAGGGTCACTACTGCTTGTTTTATCTTACACTGTACTTGAAAAGCATGGCATTCAACAGATATAGGCTTAATTTCCTTAAATTTTCAGGATGAAAATCACAAACTATGCAGGTAAATCTACACATTCCTGTGTCTTTTTATAGCATGTGGAACTAATTCTGGATAATTAACTCTTACTCTATTTTCCCCATCAGTTAAAATAAGAACAATTCAATGCAGTGCTGATTTCTTAGCTGAATACAAAGTCTATTTAACAACTGTCCAGACCAAATGATTCATTACAACAAAGGAATCAGGACCTTGAATTATTTAGATTCTTTTGTGCAGTATATAACCCTTAGGATTTACTTAAATTGCTGCCTACAAATGAACTACCAGTAACTCATCATCTAGCCATGAAAATAACTCAGTTGAACTGTGGGTAGATATTTAATTGCCTTCACAATGTTTGTGCAGTATTTGTCTATAAAGCTTTAGATAATATTGCCTTTATTCATCTGAGTAAACTATCAATTCCCTTACAACAACAGACAAAACCCTGCATTCCTGTTTTAACTTTCCCCAGGGTACAAATTAAAACTTTCAGGTGGCACATCTTTACTTTATTTGACTATAAACTCTCTTTATGGCAATGCAAGTTGTCACAGATGATGGCTACTGGAATACTTAAGTGTTTATCTCCAGCCATTACACAGGGAACTGGAGCTGTGCACAAATTCCCTCTACAAACTCTGAAAACTGAACTCTCAGACATCCAGAAATGTACAATTCATTGGCTGTGATGATTCTTCACAGCAAAGAATGTTCATCTTTAACCAGACTCTACTGGTGTAACACTCAGCTGTTACCAAGCAGTAAAAGCAATTTCAGTGTGACTATGGCTATTTCACACGTGATACAAATACTGCCCAAGTTTCGTAGTTCTGTTTGAAATAGCTCCGGATAACAAATGTAAAATAACAATTTACCTGTTGCAGGGTGAGGAAAGGAATGAGCACATGTGGAATTAAGGGTTTAATCTCTAAAACTGGGCTGGAAGATCTGAGTTGGGATACTAGAATCCTGATTCTTTAGCTGAAACAGAGAATCTGGGCTCCCCAGCTTAGGCTGAGGTTAAGGAGAAGTCCTAGTCCTGGTATGTGTTAATGCTTAAGTGGTACTGTGACACAGAGCTATGCATTCACAAACAAAAAAAAAAGCCTGAATTAGCAGCTTCCATGTAAAGATATCACTTTATGTCTAGAATGTGATGAAATGACGCCCAAATACTTCACAAGTATGAAAAAGTTTCTATTTGGGATAGTGGAATGATTTGAGTGATTTTTATATTACCACTTTACAAATGTAAATGTATAGGTGCCTGGGACCACACAATATAACAACAGAAACCAGGAGTCTCAGATTGCAGAACTGCTGCTCTAAATACAGGATACACTTGCTGTACTGAAGGAATGACTTACATGAAAAAATAATGGCTAGAATATCATATCTGCTCCAACTCCAGAACCTAGTGTAGGATGATGCTAATATCAGCTAATAATATCAGGATCAAAGATGAGTGGAATAAAACTTCCAATTTTAGCTGCTCTTTATCTGCAGGTGTGAATGTATAATGAATTCTCGCCACTGGCTCCCTATTATAAATCCAATGATTTTGTACTCTACAACAGCAGTTTCTACAATTTTCTTTTGGCACAACCTGCTTGGAATACATGACAAAACAGCAGGGTGCCAAAACGGTTTTCTAAATGATCTACTTTGCAAGACAGCTTCCAAGTGCGACCCTGATGAATCTTATTACTCTCAGAACAGAACAAACACGAAAGAAAGAGCCCCCATATCATTTACTTATGTATTTCTTTGGGTTTTTTACATGCTACTTTACATCCATGCCAAAGTATTCATTCCAACACAGAAAGCATTTTAAACCCAGGTTAAATAAAAAACCATTAGTGGGTAGGATAGAATTGCACTATGCCTATTTTTGAATCGTGCTGTCTCAGGCAAGTGTAATGAATCATTTGATGTCATCTCAATTACCATGTTGCTCTAATCAAGGGAATTGCTCTTCCCATCCACTCCTTGTATGGAACTCTCTAAATTAGATGGCAGAGTTTTTCCCATGGACAAACCCATCCTCTGGCAAACTACAAGGGTCAGGATTTAGCAAGATTAAGTTACAGAACAAGGCTGGGTGACTCTATACTTCAACTGATTATCAGATCATTTTAATGGTACAGAGGGGTATTTCACTGCAATTTATAGTGATGGTTGAGTGTTT